CTGTAGATGTGGGCGTGGTGGGCGTGGTGGGCAAGGACTTGTGGGTGTCCATCGTGGGGGGGAGGGGGACGCCATGCCCTGGGACGCCCTTCCCGTCCTGAAGAGCGGCCAGGGTGAGCAGCGTGGAGAAGTTACCTCCGCCGAGCATCTGCCGGAGAAAACAAAACATTTTAGTAACAAAATAAGACACTCTTTACTCAGGACGATCAATAAACCATAAAATCAACTAGAAGAAAAGACGATAACAACCCGCAACACACGATAAACTCAATAATAGCGGCAATAACAATTAATAATCGCCAGATCCCCCCAAACAAAAAAACAAAACACCACTGACAACAATAGCAGGCCACAGGAATGCCAAAATAATAAAACGGAACCAAAGCCAGGCCGGCCAACAATAACCCCGAATAATAATAATAAAAACAAGACTGATACAAGCCACTAGAAGGTTAAAGAGCAGAGAATAAAGAGAGGAGAAGGAGCTAGAGACGAGAGCCAGCGAGAGGCTTGATCATCACAACAGCGCCATCACCACCACGCTAAGTAGAAGTAACACTAAACAACACACTAAAACGGTAGGATAATTACTGCTCGCGTTGGCAATAACCGGGAAAGGATTGCCGCATTAACATATAAAAGGAAAATAAATAATAGAAGATAAATAATGATGATAATGCTAGCAAGGATCATCGAATTGCTACTGATAAACTGTAGCACAGGCTTTATCAACCACCATGTGTTAAAATTAAGATGGATTATTCGCAAACTCAATACCTCCATTCTTGATCAATTCTATGCACTCAACAGCCCAATAAAAGAGAGAGAAGACGATCTCCTCTCGACGCTCTCATCTCATCTCCTCTCTCTCTCTCTCTCTCTCTCCCTTTTTTTCTTTAACGTGTACAAAACAAACAAAACCATCAGCATCAGCTACATGAAGCGTCCAACAAACAACTCCTTCCGATAAGATCGCGAGAAGGGAGTTGAGGAAAATTTGAATATTCCTTCGGGACTCCGGGCCGGGAACCGCGCGCGGAGGTGCCGGCGGCCGCGTCCTCTTCCTCCTCCTCCTCCTCCATCTCCTCCTCCTCCTCCTCTTCCTCCTCCTCCTCCGGGAGACCCAGATAAGCTGCCCCTCAGACCTCCTTTCCTCGAGGCTCACTGCCCGGCCGCCTCGAGTCCACGACGAAACCCGATAATATTCGCTTGTGATTGTATACAAATGGCGAGATGATTTGCATATCGACAGCCAGCCGAGAATAAAATGAGGACGTGCCGGGGGTGCCCAAGGGACGTACCCAGATCCTAGCGGAGGGCGCAGTTGGGGTCGCCTCTTGGGATGCTGCGGCAGGACACCCGGGACGCTGACGGGGTTTCCTTGCTTTTTTCTTTATCGAAGGACGCGTGCTGATGCATGAGAAGGATGCCGCGGGACGCATTTTGTGAACCCAAGCGCGGTCGGCCATATACGGGGACGGACATATAGGAGAGAGGAGAGAGAGAGAGAGAGAGAGAGAGAGAGAGAGAGAGAGAGAGAGAGAGAGAGAGAGAGAGAGAGAGAGAGAGAGAGAGAGAAGAGAGAGAGAGAGAGAGAGAGAGAGAGAGAGAGAGAGAGAGAGAGAGAGAGAAGAGAGAAATAAGGAGATACAGGAAGAGAAAGATAAAAAAAACAAAACAAAGAGAAGAAAAAACAAAAAGAGAACAAACAAGAAAAAAGTAATACAAAAATGAAGCAGAGAAAGAGAACACCAAAGAAAGAAAGAGGAAGAGATTAAGATAGAAAGAGAGAGAGAAAATAACAAACACAGAGAAGCCAAAGGAGCTTCCTTGTCCTCATTTCGTTCGTAATTAAAACAGCTTCATAGTCATCTTGCCAATTTTGATGATCGAAAACTTGTTTGCACAGACGCTGATAAGACGTGGCTCAGCGCTCCTCCTCCTCCTCCTTGCTTTTTTTCTTCTTCTTCTCCTCTCCTCCTTCTTTCTTCATTTTTTTCTTCTCCTCTCCTTCTTCTTCTTTTTTTATTCTTAATTTTCTTCTTCTCCTCCTCCTTCTTTTTCTTCTTCTTTTTCTTCACCTCCTCCTCCTCCTCCTTTTTTTCTTTTTTGTTTTTTTTCTTCTTCTTCTCCTCCTCCTTCTACTTCTTCTTTTTCTTTTTTCTTCTTCTTCTTCTTGTTCTTCTCTTCCTCCTTCTTCTTCTTCTCGTTTTTCTTTTTCTTCTTTTCCTTCTTGTTTTTCTTCTTTTCCTTCTTCTTCTTCCTCCCATTTATCGTCCCCTTTCTTCTCCTCTTTCCAATACTTCTCTCTTATGTTATTTTAAATTTTCATTGACATAGATTTTTTTCTCTTCTTTCTTCTTATTCTCTTTATTATTCCTTAATTCCATTTCTTTACGTCCTCCTTCTATCCCTTCTTATTCTTTTTTTTACTCCCTTCTCCTCATCATCATCACCATCCTTCTCTTCCTCCTCATCATCACCATCATAATCCTACTCATCATCACATTCCTCCATCTCCTCCTCCTTCTCATCACCATCCTCCTTCTCATCTTCATATTCTTTCTCCTCATCATCACATTCCTCCATCTCCTCCTCCTCCTCATCTTCATCTTCCTTCTCATCATCATCCTCATCATCACCATCCTCCTTCTCCTCCTCCTCCTCCTCATCACCATCCTCCTTCTCTTCCTCCTTATCTCCTCATCATCATCATCTTCCCGCTCCCCCCCACACTCTCTCGGCCCCACCCCTCTCCCCTCCCCCCACACCCACCCCACCCCCTCCCTCTCCGTCACAGCCTCCACCAAGACGAACAGCTCGAGGCATCTTAGACATCCCAGAGCGTGGAAAATCCAGAGAAATTTTCCCACGATTCTATTTATAAAAAAAAACCTTGCCGGCTTTCCTTCTTTTTTTCTCGTTTTCTTTTTAATTTTTTTTTTTGAAACATGAAAGAAGTAGTAGGGAGGAGGGAGGGAGGGAGGGAGGGAGGGAGAGAGAGAGAGAGAGAGAGAGAGAGAGAGAGAGAGAGAGAGAGAGAGAGAGAGAGAGAGAGAGAGAGAGAGAGAGAGAGAGAATAAGAAAAAAAAAAAACAAAAAAAAAAAAATCACAAAAAGGGAAACAAATCATACCCTCCCCCCTCTCTCCCATCAAAGACAAAAGACACAAAACCCACTTAACATTTATTCGGAAAATTAACCCCACCTGCACCTTCCCCCTCCCCCCCAACCCTCCCATCCCTCCCCCCCCCCCCCCCTCCTCTCCCCTCCTCATTCCCTCCCTCCCTCCCCCCCGCCCTCCCTCATTCCCCCCCCCCCCCTCCTCCCCCCCCCCCCGCCCTCCTCATTCCCCATCCTTCACAGCATCTAAACCTTTACGACTCCCGGGCGACGTCACACGGCCGTTTAACACGCACAACACATGTAACGAACACCCCCCCTCCCTCCCCATCCCCCATAAACACGCACCGGAAGACGAGGAGGCCATAACGAAGTCCCAGCCAGGTGGATCGAAGTCGGAGCAAGGGATTCGGATGCGTGACGAGGCTGTAACGAAGTCCCAGCCAGGTGGATCGAAGTCGGAGCAAGGGATTCGGATGCGTGACGAGGCTGTAACGAAGTCCCAGCCAGGTGGATCGAAGTCGGAGCAAGGGATTCGGATGCGTGACGAGGCTGTAACGAAGTCCTAGCCAGGTGGATCGAGGTCGGAGCTAGGGATTCGGATGCGTGCTTGGTTTGGCTGTGGCGGTGTTTGGATTTTTTTTTTTGTGGTGTGTTTGGTGTGTGTGTTTTTTTTTTGGCATGTTGGTGGTGTGGTGTTTTGTGATTTTGTTTTTGTTTGTTTGTTTATCTTGGTGCTGTGTCTTCTCTTTTTGCTGTTGTGTTTTTGTTTCTTTTGGTGTTGTCTTGTGCTCTTGTTATTGCTCATTGTAGTTTTTTAAAATCCTTAATGCTGTTATAATCATTTATCACTACTGTTGTTATTACTATTATCATTACTTTGTTATTATTATGATTATCATGATGTTTATTATCTTTTAAAAATCTTCTTTATTCAAGTTCCGGAACCAATTGAGATTTTCAGTATAAACCTAATACCTTAAAATATATCAAAATAACAAATATGTACATCTTGATCTTCGTGTCTTTTTCTTTCATTTCTGTCTATTCCTTAATTCCTTTATTTCTTTATTTTTAGCCTCTCTGATTTCGAGGATTGTCGGTCTGATATATGACCCCGTTTCCCCTCGCCCCCCCCCCCTCGCTTTCCCCTTTTAATTCTAGACATTTTTGCGAGGGGAATTCCCTGCTTGTCTCCCCCCCTCCCCCCCTTCGTCGCTTCCACCCCCTTTCCTACACTTCCCTCCTCTCTCCCTCCTTCCCCCTTCACCCCACCTCTTCTCCCCCTCTTTATTCCCTTCCTCCCCTCTTTATTCCCTTCCTCCCCTTCCCTCCCTCCCCCCTCCTTCCCCCTCTCCCCTCCTTTCCCTCCTTCCCCTTCCCCTCTTCTCCCCTCTTCTCCCCTCCTCCCCTTCACCCCATCCTCCTCCCCCTCCTTCCCCTTCCCCCACCCTTTTATTCCCTCCTCCCCTTCCTCCCCTCTTTATTCCCTTCCTCCTTGAGGCCTCGGAAGGGGAAACTGGCAAGAGGAGGAGGTTCTCTTGTCACAATAAATCGACTTGGTATAAGCGACTTCAAGGGGCGGAAAATGGGGGGGGGAAGGGAGGAGGGGAGGGGGATACAGGAGCGGAGGGTGGCGCAGAGGGGAGGGAAGGGAAGGAGGGGGAGGGAGGGGGAGGGAGGAGGGAGGAGGGCGAGCGGGGAAAGGAGGGAGGGGGGAGGGGATACAGGAGCGGAGGGTGGGGCAGAAGGGGAGGGAGGGGGAGGAGGGAAGCAGGAGGGAGAAGGAGGGCGTGATGCAGGAAGGGAGGGTGGTAGGAGGGACAGAAGGGGAGGGTGCAGGAGGGAGGGAGGGAGGGAGGGAGGAGGGAGGGAGG